AAAAACCCTAGTAGCTCTGTCTTCTAATCTTCCACATTCAATCCCTCAACAAGTTTTATGTTCCAAAAATACACTTCTCTGTAGCACATGCCCTGATGTGCCACCCAGAGCCCTTTTCAGGACTGCAGGACTTACTGCCACAGCTGCTGGGCATGCTGCCACCTCACAGCCCTCTGCCCTCTCTGCAAATTGCCCTCAGCTGCAGAGAGACACTTTACCCAAGATCACATCCTTTCCTGCTTACCCATAAAAGAACCTGCTCCTGGTCAGGCATGGTAGCTCACACCTGTAAGCCCAGCACTTTGGGAGGCCGAGGCAGACTGATCAAGAGGTCAGGAATTCTAGATCAATCTGACCAACATGGTGAAATGCTGCCTCAGTTGAAAATAGAAAAGTTAACTGGGTGTGGTGGCACGTGCTTGTAACCCCAGCTTTACAGGAGGCTGAGGCAGGGGAATCAATTTGAACCTGGGAGGCAGAGGTTGCAGTGAGCCAAGATGGCGCCAGTGCACGCCAGCCTGGGCGACAGGGTGAGACTCTGTCTCGAAAAAACAAAACAAAAACCGCTCCCTCAGTAACCCAAGACAACTCTGAAAGGCCACCCCAGCATAGGCCAGTGCTGCCTGTGGGGTCAGCCAATGCCCTCATGGAGACTGCCTCAGAGCCCAGCATCTTCTCTTGCCCAGACTCCGTCCTTCCCTTCCCTTCTGGAAACCCAGTCTGCAACACTATCCCCAGTGTACCCCCCTTTTTCCATCTCCCCGTTTCGTTTTGGTTAAGCCACCACCTTCTCTCACCTTGACTGTCGCATTGCTTTCGCTGGGTCTCCTTCTCGTTGCTCTTCGCTTCACCATGTCTTTCCCTCGCAACCGTCAGCTACTGATATGGTTTGGCTGCATCCCCACCTGAATCTCATTTCACATTGTAACGCCCACAATTCCCACGTGCCGTGGGAGGAACCCGGTGGGAGGTGACTGAATTATGGGGGCGGGTCTTCCCTGCGCTGTTCTCCTGATAGGGAATGGGTCTCACGAGATCCGGTGATTTCAAAAAAGCGAGTTCCGCTGCCTAAACTTTGTGAGGCCTCTCCAGCCACGTGGAACTGGGAACCCAATTAAACCTTTTTCTTTTGTAAATTGCCCACTCTCGGATACGTCTTAATCAGTAGTGTGAAAACGGACGAATACAGCTATGCTTTATTTTTTCAGAGAGAGAGTCTTGCTCAGTCCATCCTCAGCTGGAGTACACAATCTTCTTGTGCCTCAGCCTCCCAAGTAGCTGAGATTGCAATTGCACACCACCATGCCTGGCTAATTTTTTTGTATCATTGGTAGAGACAGAGTTTTGCCATGTTTGCCGGACTCTGTCATTTTCCAACCCTTGGCTTTCTGTATTGCATTCTGGGTAATTTCTTTGAATCTGTCTACTAGTTCACGACTCCTTTCTTCAGTTATACCAGTTTGTAATTTACACATTGTACTTTAAATTTCTTTTCTTTTCTTTTTGAGATGGATTTTCGCTCTTGTTACCCAGGCTGGAGTGCAATGGCGCGATCTCGGCTCACCGCAACCTCCGAGTAGCTGGGATTACAGGCACGCGCCACCATGCCCAGCTAATTTTTGTATTTTTAGTAGAGACGGGGTTTCACCATGTTGACCATGATGGTCTCGGTCTATTGACCTCGAGATCCACCCGCCTCGGCCTCCCAAAGTGCTGGGATTATAGGTGTGAGCCGCCGCGCCTGGCCTGTACTTTAAATTTCAATGATTATAGTTTTAGTTTCTAAGACTTAAAATATTTTCCTTTTAATCTACCTGGTTATATCTAATGTACTCCTTATTGTATTCATTGTTTTAGACACTGTCTTTATTTCCTTAATTTGTAAGATGATTATTTTATATTGTGTATCTGGTAATTCCAGTATCTAAAATCTGTGGGGCAAGAAATTGGCTGTTAGTTATATCTGCTGATTATCTCTTATGGTTTATTTGTATAGTAATTTTAAAATTGCAAGGGCATACTTTGTTGAGCTTAATTGGTGAGAGCTACGTTAGAGATGCTTTCCTCTAGACAACATATGCTTGTATCTGCCTGCTACCAGGGGCCCTAGCAAGCTCTTTAACTTCTTGGTTTTGTGTTCTTTGACCATATGGAGAGTGTAAGACTGAATTCCATACTTGACGGGGGCAGGCCTATGATAGATTTCAAGGGGTCATTATTATTATTATTTTTCCATCTAGAGCTAGTGTGGAGATGGTGTTCTTGATAGATTTCTTTTGCTGGCATGAGGAATTTTCCTAGGCCACTCTTGCTTAGGATGTAGCCATCTTCAAGTGTCCTGATTTAGGATGTGAATGTCAAATTTAACTCACCTACTTCCAGTGGCCCAAGGCTTAATCTTCCATTCCCTACTTCGTTGTACGTATTTACCTTTGGGCAAGCCCAGTTTTTGCTTTTGCTTATGGTTCACACTCAGTTTTCAGCTCACTCCACTTCTTTTTTGAAATGCTTTTGGAATTTCTCTTACTTTCTTGCAATCTAAGCTGTGTGTTAAAAATAAATTTATTGTAATTTATCTAAGATTTAATGGTATGGTATAAGAAAGGCCTTTTAGAGACTGAACTCAATGGCTCACGCCTGTAATCCCAACACTTTGGGAGGCTGAAGCAGGTGGATCACAAGGTCAGGAGTTTGAGATCAGCCTGGCCAACATGGTGAAACCCCATCTCTACTAAAAATACAAAATTTACCTGGATGTGGTGGTGCGGAGGTTGCAGTGAGCCAAGATTGCACCTCTGCACTCCAGCCTGGGCCACAGAGCAAGACTCTTTCTTAAAAATTTAAAAAAAGAAAAAAGGCTTTTTTTTTTTTTTTTTTTGAGACGGAGTTTCGCCCTTGTTACCCAGGCTGGAGTGCAATGGCACGATCTCGGCTCACCGCAACCTCCGCCTCCTGGGTTCAAGCAATTCTCCTGCCTCAGCCTCCTGAGTAGCTGGGATTACAGGCACGTGCCACCATGCCCAGCTAATTTTTTGTATCTTTAGTAGAGACGGGGTTTCACCATGTTGACCAGGATGGTCTCGATCTCTCGACCTTGTGATCCACCCGCCTCGGCTTCCCAAAGTGCTGGGATTACAGGCTTGAGCCACCGTGCCCGGCAGAAAAAAGGCTTTTTAGAGTGTCTAGTTGATACTGCTAAATGCAGAAACCAAAAGTAATCTTTTAGAAATGTGAAATAGTTTACATCACTCTTTTGCTTAAGATCCTTCAGTGGCTTTTTCTCACACTTAAAACGTACAAACTATCCTGGCCTACAAAGCCCAGAGCTGTCCTGGGCTTTTTTTTTAGCCCGCGTGGCTCCCCACCCTGCCAAGTTGCTGTTCCCTGGCTGGCCTGCCTTCTGCTTTTTTCACATTTGGCTTCTAAACATTCAGGTCTCACTCTAAATGCCACTTTTTCGAAGAGGCCTCACCCGACTCCCCTCCCCATTTCTCTATCAATTACGCTGTTTTAATTATCTTTAGGGCACCTATTATTAGCTGACATTTTCCTGTCTATTGTCTGTCTTCCCTACTAGAACATAAGGCTATGAAAGGAAAGCAGGGACCTTTTTTGGGTGATTCATCACTTTCTCCTCAGAATTTAGAACAGCTCTTGGCACATAGTAGAAATTCAATACATATTTGTTGAATAATGAGAGCTGAGCATTGACTACCTATTCCCTTGAGACAGGACCTAGGTTCTTCAGAGTTCCACAGTTCCCACTGCTCCCTTTAAAAAAATTTTTATTTTGCCGGGCGCGGTGGCTCAAGCCTGTAATCCCAGCACTTTGGGAGGCCGAGGCGGGTGGATCACAAGGTCAAGAGATCAAGACCATCTTGGTCAACATGGTGAAACCCCGTCTCTACTAAAAATACAAAAAAAATAGCTGGGCATGGTGGTGCGTGTCTGTAATCCCAGCTACTCAGGAGGCTGAGGCAGGAGAATTGCCTGAACCCAGGAGGCGGGGGTTGCGGTGAGCCGAGATCGCGCCATTGCACTCCAGCCTGGGTAACAAGAGCGAAACTCCGTCTCAAAAAAAAAAAAAAAAAAAAAAAAATTATTTTATTTTTAAAAAATATTATTATTTATTTTCAGTGAAGGGATCTCACTATATTGCCTAGGTTGGTCTCAAACTCCTGGACTCAAGTGACCCATCGGCCTTGGCCTCCCAAAGTGCTGGGGTTACAGGCCACTGTGCCAGGCTGGCTCCTACTATTTCCTATCATCTCCCAAGTTGAGCTTGCTTTGTGAATTTATTGGCCCTTGTATGCATCTGAATTTTCAATCCCTGCTCACAAATGTCACTCTAATTCTCTTCAGCATCTTCAGAGCAGAGATTTTGTTTTATGTTTCTTTTTTCCCTTCAGTGTCTTGCATATAATAGGAGGGGAAGGAATGAACATTCACTGAATATCCCCTACCTGTCCAGCACAACCACACTACAGTTTAATGTATGTCCTTACAACTATGCTGTGGAGCTGAGTAATATTATTTATATCTATTTTACAAATGAAGACACTGACGCTTAGAGTTGTTTAGAGTCATATAGTAAACCAAGGATCAGGGATCGAAACCTACTCAGACAACACATACCTAGTATGAAGTATTGTAAAAGGGTTGCTCATGTGTGAGGAATGGCTGGCTGTTTTCAATTTGCAAAGGGGAGACTGGACAAATGGGTATTGCAGGTCAAGTTTTACTTGAGCAGTCCAGCTATTTATTTAGTTATCAATTTTATTTCACTGAGTGTATATCCCTATATTTGGCTAGTTGAGGCTTTGGAGATTTTAACCATGCCTTCCACATGAACGTCTTGCTGCTGAGGCAGATATTATGGAATCCAAGAGCAGGGAGATTTTCTGAGATAGTTACTTCAATCCAACCATCAGCTGTCACCGGATCACTGGACAAAGACAGAAACTGAATGCACCGAAGATGTACCACACCACCAAAAGTTCTTTTAAGTAACAAAATCTTATTTTTATTTTTTACGGAAATTCAGGTATTCCAACAAATTTCTTTACATTTCCTGGACCTTAAAAAAATTACACACAACTTTTAGACGCAATACAACAGAACAGAATGAGAAAGGGAGTCACTTTTTTTGCTGTTTTTTAAAAAGATAAAAACCTACTTCTTAGACTTAATTAACGTTTAGTGATTTACATGTGTATTACCTATATACAAATGGTACATCGTCAATGACCCATCTTCAGAGCACTGTGGTATGCTAAATTACACTTAGGTTTTATGGCAAAAACTTGTTTAAAACATTTGCATGTGGATAGGAAGTACTTTCTTAGTTTTGTTAACACCACTGTTAGTGATGTGGGACTCCCGATGGAATCTGCAGTTTGCATGGATGAAGGAAAGCCAATGCCTTCTGTTTTTATTGTAGGTAAGGTAGACAGATACCTCCCTTCAAATAAAATATGACCTCTTGAAAAGTTGTGTGTAATTAAATTTAGTAAGTAGGGTGTTACAGATACAGTAGGGAGCTAATACTTAAAGCAACAAATAATCCTCAGAATGACTAATACTTTAGTTGTGGATATTAAGTATACCCTTAATTTGGTTCCTAAGAAAAGCCACATCTCTGTGAATTGGATTTTACTCTTTTGAGCATACCTGTAATATGCTTTTAGCCATTTGATACATAATGCCATTTATGGTGAAAAGATGGCTTGCACCAGAAACATTTGGCTAAAATAGGAACGTGGTCCTAACAGAGAGAGGGTAAGAGAAGTGAACCCTGATCTGTATCACTCCTTGTGTTATCCTCCATCTGATGTTCTAGTGATATATACTAATTTGTTCTTAATTTTGAATATATGAATAAAAGCATTCTACACGTCGATGTTTGCTGCTCAGGTACAGAACATGGTTTGGCTTCCACTAAGTACCCTTGCATGTACATGTTAGCTTGTGTTCATTCTCAGGCAGTGGGCTATTTCAATGTCAAATATTTCTCTGTTGTTGGATATTGGCAGGCTATGCGGTGAGGCTGATGGTGGGGGAAGCCTGGGAGCAAATGATTGTTGAAGTCAACTGGTTAGTTGTTAACTACTTCCAGATGTCAGCCAACTAAAGTGAATCTGAGTATTTTTGAAACTAACATTAGTAAACGAAAAGGTAACTTATTCCTACTGAGTTTTTTTCAACCTGTATAAGTATATAGTCATTTATTTCTAAGGCTATTAAATTATTATTTATTTTGTTAGTACCACTTACTATTATTTAGAAGTATGTTTAATGGAATGATTATAAAAAAATAAAAATGAGTGCCCGTCAGTAAGGGAAATAGAAGATATAGATTTCTGGTAACATGTATGGCAATGAAATAGGAAAAAAATAGAAGATATTTTAGATACTTATTTATAAAGTATTTTAAATTCCTATGCATATACTAGGGAGAATTAGAAAAAAAGTATTTATTTGATAGTAGCCTATAATATTACACATGAACATCCATGAAAATGGACTTTCTATATTTTTCAGAGTTCCTTGATGCTGTTTCCTGAAAGACAGGGAAATCTATGTCGCTTGGGAACCTATGATGTAAAGATGTACTTCCTGTAATATACAGCTTGGTGGAGTAATAGTATATGGCATAAAAATTTTCTCAGTAATAACTTGTATGGACAGATTAAACAGGACTCAGACTTGATAAAAAGTTTGAAGCGTTACGTCTCTTAATAACTGAGCGGTTGTAACTAAGTATACAGTGAAGTAAATGAATGGTAGAGACGAAGAACCAAAGGTCACGGCTCCTACAAAAACATTCAGAGGCATTTTCTAAGATGCTTCCTCAATAAATGATGCTTGATCAGCCTCTTGGTGATTGAGATAGGAATAATTTAGAACTAACTGCCTTTTTAAAAATTCTGTTGAAAGGTTAAAGCTTTTTGTTTTCAGTTTGATTTAAAAAGGACAGTTTAGAAACCTCAGTACATACATATTTTACATGTTAACTCTAGAGCATTTATATTCTTCTTCCTTATTTCCTGAACATGATTTGTCATGAACATTTTCTGATCTCATCCAATGACAGTTTCCAATGAGCTGGTGTTTAATCCATAATCACATCTCTTTCCAGAAAATCACTCCCATCTCTGCTGATCTAGAATTAGAAGGTGCGTTGACAAGTGAATGTTCCATTCTTGTTCATATTCATCTCTATACTCTGATCTCTCTCGAGCATATTCCTTCTTGATGTTGATGTACAAAAGCTGTTATTCAATTTATTTAGCTGTTGTTCGATTTGTTTTGTGCTCATTCTAGAGAATATTGGCTTAGCAGAACTGCAGAAATGGGAGGGAAGAGAGAGAAAAGGGGTGGGGAGGGGGAGAGAAAAAATGCATCATTTTCTGTCTGCAAGATTTTTGTGCATAATATTTGTCATGGAAAAATTACACCAATGAATGGTTCAAATTCTCTTTGCATTTGTTACCAAACGATACTGAAAAGTTTGAGATTTCTGTCCCATTCAACCCACAGCACAGTCTTCCCAGCAAGAAGAACGTTCATGTTCCCTCCATCTGGGTCAAGATTACAGGCTGCTTTGAGGAGCAAGGAAGAATGTAGAGCATCAGTGACTTTTCTGCTTAGCATGGAAAAATGTGTCACCTGAGTGTTTTCCTTTTCTTTTCAAGTTTTATTTATTTTGAACTCAACATTATAGCAGCTACAAAATTATTATAGATGAATCACCCACAATCCAATCATGGACAAAACTGTTTCCTTCCTATCTTTCTTTCCATTCTTTATCTAAATGTGCAGTTATTTTATACGATTGTAATTACAGTATAGATGACACTTTAAACATTTTCCCATTACATTAAGGACCATTTTCTACATTTCCGCTGGCCATATCATCGGCATAAACTTCTTTTCTTTACTTCTTTACTTAATTTATAATATAGAGACAAGGTTTCGTCATGTTGCCTAGGCTGATCTCAAACTCCTGAGCTGAAGTGATCCACCTTCCTCAGCCTCCCAGAGTGTTAAGATTACAGGTGTCAGCTACCGTGCCTTGCCATCAGCATGAATTTCCAATGGCTGCATGATACTCTGTTTCATTCTCATTCCTCTCCACTCTATGCTCAATATTTCATTCTCAACTGTTTCACTATTGTCAGACATATAGGCAGGTTTCTGATTTATTCTTATAAATATGAATATCTTTCATATAAAGATCTGATTGTTTTTAAAAATGTTTCTTGGCTGGGTACTATGGATCACACATATAATTCCAACACTTTGGGAGGCTGAGGCAGGAGGATCTCTTGAGCTCAGGAGTTTGAAATCAGCTTGTAGTTATGATAACAAAATCTCGACGGGCGCGGTGGCTCACGCCTGTAATCCCAGCACTTTAGGAAGCTGAGGCGGGTGGATCACGAGGTCGAGAGATCGAGACCATCCTGGTCAACATGGTGAAACCCCGTCTCTACTGAAAATACAAAAAATTAGCTGGGCATGGTGGCACGTGCCTGTAATACCAGCTACTCAGGAGGCTGAGGCAGGAGAATTGCCTGAACCCAGGAGGCGGAGATTGTGGTGAGCCGAGATCGCACCATTGCACTCCAGCCTGGGTAACAAGAGCGAAACTCCGTCTCAAAAAAACAAAACAAAAACAAAAACAAAAACAAAAAAACCAAAATCTCATCTCTACAAATCATACAAAAATTAGCTGAGTGTGGTGGTGCGCCTGTAGTCCCAGCTACTCGGGGCTGATATAGGAGGATTGCTTGAGCCTGGGAGGTCAAGGTTGTGGTAAGCCAAGATTGCGTCACTGCACTCCAGACGGGGTGATGGAGTAAGACCCCCATCACAAAACTTTTTTATTTCTTTTGGATGAATTATCAGGGTATAATTACTTTTCCTTTTCTCCAACAGATTAGGGACTGATCCTCTATCAACACAGCTAGATTGCAAACAGTGTGATTAACCCTACACTTTGAATGATTTTCATAGACTTTGTCACTGTGAACCAGGGCTTAAGGGTGTCTTACGTATTGGGAAGTTGGGTAAATACACCTAGCTGATCATGGTGTGGCATATTTAGGCCAAAAGGAAACAGCCTGTTAGGTTTTGCTTCACAGAGCACTTTATTTATTTATTTATTTATATTTATTTTTGAGATGGAGTCTCGCTCTGTCACCGAGGCCAGAGTGCAGTGGCACAATCTTGGCTCACTGCAACCTCTGCCTTCTAGGTTCAAGTGATTCTCCTGCCTCAGCCTCCTAAGTAGCTGGGACTACAGGTATGTGCCACCACACTTGGCTGATTTTTGTGTTTTCAGTAGAGACAGGGTTCTACCGTATCAGTGAGGATGGTCTCAAACTCCTGACCTCAGGTGATCTGCCCGCCTTGGCCTCCCAAAGTGTTGGGATTACAGGCGTGGGCCACAGCAGGCTGAGGTTTTGTATCACAGAGCACTTTAAAACACAAGAGAAGTTAAGATTTCTGAATGTGTGCTAGAGAATCCTGAATCATTCTGTTGTTTTTAGTCTGTTCCCCCTTGTTTTTCAACACATTTAAAAAGATCATATGCACATTATGATCTAATGAACTTCTCTCAGCAAGAGAACTCATGGTTACTTTCATGCACCCAGACTACACAGAGGATAATTGAAATATGATCATGTCATAATGATGATTAGTCTATAATGATTCTCTGAGATGCAGTCATGCTGGCAGAAGCCCTACAGAAAGGAATACTTTCTTCAGATATTATTAAAAGCAACACAATCAGCCACTGTGGAAAGCAATTTGGAAATTTCTCCAAGAACTTAAAATAGAACTACCATTCAACCTAGTAAGCCCATTAGTGGGTATATGCCCAAAGGAAAACAAATCCTTCTACCAAAAAGACACATGCACTCATATGTTCGTTGCAGCACTATTAACAATAGCAAAGACGTGGGATCAGCCTAGGTGCCCATCAGTGGTGGACTGGATTAAGAAAGTGTGGTACATACACACCATGGAGTACTATGTGGCTGTAAAAAAAATCGGTTGGGCACAGTGGCTCATGCCTGTAATCCCAGCACTTTGAGAGGCTGAGGCAGGTGGATCACCTGAGGTCAGGAGTTCGAGAACTGCCTGGCCAACATGGGAAAACCCCGTCTCTACTAAAAATACAAAAAAAAAAAAAAAAAAAAAAAAAAGCCAGGCATGATAGCAGGTGCCTATAATCTCAGCTACTTGGGAGGCTGTACTTCTGACCCACAGTATTTGTGGTGGGCAGGGAGCTGAGAAGTAAGTGGAGAGTGAAAGTGTGAAGGCAGTGAGCCAGGCCTGGAATAGGCTGAGGCAAGTGAGTACCTAGGGTATAAAATTTAAGGAGCTCACATGCAAATGTAAGATGAGCGATTCTTTATTTTATTTTATTACCATTTTTTTTTTTTTGAGATGGCATTTCTCTCTTGTTGCCCAGGCTGGAGTACGGTGGTGCAATCTCGGCTCACCGCAACCTCCGCCTCCCAGGTTCAAGCAATTCTCCTGCCTCAGCCTCCCAAGTAGCTGGGATTACAGGCATGCGCCAAGATGGCCAGCTAATTTTTTGTATTTTTAGTAGAGATGAGGTTTCTCCATGTTAGTCAGGCTGGTCTCAAACTCGCGACCTCAGGCGATCCGCTCGCTTTGGCCTCTCAAAGTGCTGGGATTACAGGCATGAGCTGCTGCGCCTGGGTGGTGAGTGCTTCTTTAAAATTTGCAGGGCCAGTCACTGTGGCTCACGCTTGCAATCCCAGCACTTTGGGAGGCCAAGATGGGAGGATCACTCGACCCAGGAGTTCAAGACCAGCCTGGGCAACATAGGGAGATGCCGTTTCTACAAAAAATAAAAAAAAAAATTAATCAGGTGTGATGGTGCACACCTGTGGTTCCAGCTACTTGGGAAGTTTAGGTGGGAGGATCATTTGAGCCCAGGGGGTTGAGGCTGCAGTGAGCCACAGACGCACCACTACACTCCAGACTGGGTGACAGAGAGATCCTGTCTCAAACAAACAAATAAAAAAGCTTGCACCCTAGGTACCTAGCCTCACCCTAATCCCAGCCTTGCCCATGAGTGCACACTGCTCATCAGGCCTGCGGGGAATGTTTGCTTGAATTGGAGTTACTTAGACATTGCCACCAGAGCATTTTTTTTTTCTTCCTACTGCATACCACCACCATGCAACAGAAACCCCAGGGCATGCGAAGTTCTGCAGACTTAGGCTGACTAACAATAACCAGCGGTGATCAGAACACAACCACTCCCTGCAGAATATCAGGAAAACACTGTTGGGGGAGTGAAATTACAATGCTATTACAACTACTTAGATAGCATGCACAATGAAGAGTTTTCCACCTGAAGACTCCGAGAGGGCTAGCTCTTAAAACAGATTTGTGAAGAGAGAAAGTGGAAGGAAATAAAAGTCAGAAATTTTCTCTCCAGATGTGGCCATCACTCCTTCAGTCTAAGACCGTGAGACAGCAGGACAATTTGCAGAATTTGGTGAAAGCATCACTGTGGTGTAATTGCCACCTTGTGGAACATCCCGCTCTTTAAACAGCTTTGCTAGCATTTCCCATGCATCGTGGATGTTGCCTATCAGGGGAGGTAATTTAAAAGATGTCACATTCTCCCAGGTTTGTACAGAGCAGGAATGAATAAATAAGACATTCAATGCTGCTCTGGATCTTTGTTCAGTCAGGTTTCTCCTTGTAACATGTCACGGGCTCGGAGTTGCCCATGTTCCATTTCCAAAGGGCTCTTTGCAAATCCTTTTCAAAGCTGTCATTTGAATCACTGCTCATGAGCTCAGCATTTATAATGGCCGCATTGTCCAGGCTGTCTAAATGCTACTTGGCTGAATTTTCTATGTGTTTACAGATGTTGAAATGTCTCTTGTGGTTGGTTTCTGCTCATTGTACCTATCTGACCTTTTTAGTCAGGGTCTGGATTCCTCACAGTCAGGAGAGCTGGTGAGCAGGCACTGAGCAAGAAAAATGTTTGGTGGGAGCAGTCAGGCTTTGGGCAGAGTGGCTAGCTGAATCTTCGTTGTAAAAACGAGTAAAGGAGGAATTCCAGGCTATTTTTTTCTCATTGGCTGAACAAGCTTTGCCATTTTCTCCAACTCTATTGTTTCAAACTGCACCTACTTATTTTCTTTTCTTTTCTTTTCTTTTTTTTTTTTTTTTTGAGACGGAGTTTCGCTCTTGTTACCCAGGCTGGAGTACAATAGTGCGATCTCGGCTCACCGCAACCTCCGCCGCCTCCCGGGTTCAGGCAATTCTCCTGCCTCAGCCTCCTGAG